GCTATGTACAAAGTCATTGGCGGTGGAAACCTATCTTGGAAAGAACTACAAGATGTCATCCTAGATGTCGAGGTAGCCCTCAATAACCGGCCCCTTGATTACGTCGAAGACGACGTTCAACAACCTACATTAACACCCAACTCGATGTTGTTTGGACAACCGAATACTATCCCACAACTGGAGCCCCACAACATTGAAGATAGAGATCTAAGAAAACGTGCAAAGTATTTGCGAAAGTGCAAGGATGCAGTTTGGCGTCGTTGGACCAAGGAATACCTAAGAGCACTACGTGAGAGACACAACCTAAAACACGGCACGAAGTTGGTTACACCGAAAATTGGTGACGTTGCGATTATTAAGAATGATGAGCGGAATCGAGGGAAATGGCAACTTGGAGTTATCGTGCAACTTATCACAGGCAAAGACGGGATTGTCAGAGGAGCGAAGTTACGAGCGGGAAAGGGTATTCTTGAGAGAGCCGTACAGCAGTTGTATCCATTAGAACTTTCGTGCAATTGTGAGAAACCAAAACCGGCATTGAGAGCCCAAGCTCCTGAGTTTTGACCAAGACGTACTGCAGCGGCTGTAGCGAGATTACGGATTCAAGACGAAGCTGAAGAGGATGAACTCGATTGACGTTCTTAGTAACTATTGGTGGTTTATTCTTATTGTTGTTGTTTGGGAATCTCCGATAGTTAACATATATATCTCAATATTTGAGTTATATAGGGGGAGTGTGTTGGAGATTAACAATATATATATATATATATATATATATATATATATATATAGACAGTATTAACAGTTTAGAAGCTGGAAATGCGGCGTGCGCCAACACTTCCGGTGAAACGAACACATGTTGTAAAAACATTAGTGACGAGAGCGAGCGTGCGAATGGAGATTGTTATATAGGGCGAGACATTAAACTAGTAAAAAAGGAAAGAGATTGTTAACTAAACCTGTGTTTATAAAACTGTGAATTGTCGTAAACACAACAGGAGGCAATTTACGACAATAAAAAAAATAAAGTGGAACAGATTTACCTGTTAATCGATGGTGGAGGTCGCAAGTCGTTTGTTGGTTTTTCAGCTCTTTGATAGACACTTGTCATGTAAGACCACATACGAGAAAGTTCGTTGTTTATATCTTTTAATGAAGACATAAGATGTTCATTTGTTTCAGGATTTAAACTTCTCGGCTCATGATCATCTAAACGTCGTTTTCTTCTGTCATATCCATTTTGATACCCATTTGATGCTTTCTCTGGCCGCCTGTCAGCATGACTTCTGCGAGGATTCTGTCTCTGGTAGTGTCTTTCATAATATGAAGGTTGTCTACTTTCATGTCCAATGTCTGAATCACTATCAGCAGACGTACTCGACTACAAAACATAAAAATATTAAAAAATAAAATAACGAAAAGAAAAAAGATGCGAGGAAGTCAATATTCTAAGACTTTCCAAAGCAAGGGGCATGCATTGCGCAAGTTATTATTCTTGAGGCTCATCTACACGATACGACTAGTCGTACAGGTATAAGATTCTTATCCTCGTATCACATGCGCTCGAGAAAATGCGTGTAAAGATGTCACATTTCAAATTTCGTCACAACCTGATGAACATAGTGGCGTCAGCAGTCCTTTTCATGCGCCAGAATGACAATCATACACGACTAGTCGTATCGTGTAAATGGGCCTTTAACGGAACATGTTAGTTAACAAAGTAATAGGTTCAAGAAGAAAGAAGTTTCAGTAAAGTGAGACAACAGCAACATGTTATTTAATTATTATATACAAGGTACATTATATAAGTGTATTATTCCACCAACGCAAATTCAATGAACTTAGGATTGGAGCTCTACAACTGGACTCTGTAGCTGTGTTGGTTAGAGTGCTGCACCGGAATCGCACGGCCGAAGGTTCGATTCCTGCCAGATGGCCCTGCTGTTTAGATGCCCAAAATCCTGATATTTACCCATACATTTTAAAAATTTATACTATGAACATTTTATTGATCCTTCATGTTTTAGTTTCCTCGCTCATGCAAGGCTTACAGTATAGTCTTCAATCTAGTAATCACACAATCCCAAATGAGAAAGTATTGTCATAAAATGTAAACAATTGTCACACATATAAGAATGTACGAGTAATGTATACGAGATTTTATCATAACTACCAAGTCATTTGCAAATGTATTCTCCAACATTTTTAATCTCTCTTCTTTTTGACGAAGAAGATTTTCTCCAGCGCTCATGTGATACAAAGCTTCTGTTACCTCTGCTTCTTCCTGGAACAAAAACAAAAATGTGCATCTAAAAACCAATATACCAGTCGAAAAATACAACGAAACACAATCCAAAGATTAGCATCTTGAAACCCAATTAGATATGAGTCAAAACAACAAGACGAGAATGACTTTGTGATATTTCGATTTTATTCCAAAATCATCATCAGTTAGTCTAATGATTTTGGAATAAAACCGAAATATCACAAACTCATTCTCGTCTTGCTTTGACTCATTTTGTGTTTCAAGATGTTAATATTCAGATTGTGTATCTAAAGACATTCAAGTTTTTGGGGACTTTATATTTTATGCTCTTCTCGTCACTCTTATTTGCATTCATTTGCAATGTTACACATAGTTATTTCATTGAATACTGCATGTATTGTAACCACAGGAAATAAAAATTGGTTAGGCATGTGTTTCCATGCAAAATCGTGACGCTGAAGACAAAAATTCTCATCTACGAAGCTATTGTTCAGTAGGTGTCTGGTGTTGTCTATGCCAGTAAGACGTGTAGACAATTTACAGTCAGACACAGCAAGAAACTGGACGCCATCTATATGTGTCTCAGAAAGATAATGGGATAATTTTGAGTCAGCATTCACAAAAAAATTTTCATGTGCCCTTGTGGTCCCATTTTCCCACCCCTGGCAAAAACAGCGAATGAATGAAGTTAAGGTGAGGAAGGAGACACAAAGGAAGCAGGCAGCCATAACATGAACAACAGTTGAGAAAGATTTGAATGAGACAGGATGTACTTGCATGGGATGATGCTAAATCAATACCTATATGTTCGTCAACGAACGGAAGAACTTAAGAAGATATTATTATACTAGTACGCCACACCGTATCACACTTCTATCTATTAAGGTAGTGTGCAAAAATCGTATGGATCTTACTTGGTCTAGTGCATGTTTCATTTCATCCAGCTTCGATGGCTCGAGATCACGAGATAACTGTAAAAGATGAACAAGTATTTTAAGCCATTTACAAATGGCGTTTTTATTGTTTGTACTGTAGAAATCATTAATTGGCGAGTATAATTTACGTTAATTGTATTTCAGATAATGGTAGAAAGAACGCCTGGCTAATTCATGGGATTCTCGCAAAGATAAACAGCAAACCAACACGAAATTTTTGAAGAGCATTTAGTTTAATGTCATCCTGCCAGTTTTATTAAGTTTTGATAAACCTGTATTTATATACTACTTTTCAAAAAGGGCATGAGCTCATCTACCATAAAAAACTCATCTGCACGAGAACTATATAACCTTTCTGTTTCTTCCATCCCTGGCAGTGCTTCTAGTACTTGCAAGGTGTCCCTAAACAACATTTAGAATATATTTAACAGTTATTCTGTGAACTCGAGTCGTATAAAAGGTATCGATAAACGACGAGGTGAGGAGTATCAGCCGCATACGACGAGAGTGAGTAGAATAACTGTTTTATTATATATTATATATAGACAACTACTGCATTCACACACTCATGTGTATGGCAATATTTTGACAGTTAGTTTAGGAACCCACGCAACTTGCCCTGAACCTGATGAACCTCGCTCATGCTCTTTCTTAAATAATACTTCAAAGTTTGCTGAAAACATTTAAGGCTTTTTAGACAAAACAAGTTTTGTGATTTCACATCTAAAAATTGTTTTTAGTTCAGTTTAATTTCCTCCAATAAATAACATTCTGTTCATGTTTTAACATATTCTGTTCATATGTAGCCTGCGAACAGGCCCTGGGTTACGGGCGGCGCGAAGAATAGAGGGCCTGCACGGAACTATAGGTTTTCTTGGTAGTGGCGTTCGTATAGAAACGCAGGCTTCTGATTGGCTTACACTCGTTGACAAAATTACTAAAAATAGCAAATGTCAACAACGGCATTTTGAAGAATTTGAACTTTATTCATTTTAATATTATATATTATAAGACTATCGAACAAATAAAACTAGAAATAGAAACCAAAAGCAATAGCAAAGCATCACAGCAAAAAAGTCTATCATAAATGACTTGAATCTATATAACAGTATTCTGAACTTCGTCTTCGGATTGACATCAGACTATAGTATAGTACATTTTGAGGTCGTCGTGGCTTCACGGATTATTCTCATTAGTGAGCAAGTCAGCAAGCGAAGGCATACAAAAGATACCCAAATATGTACGAATAATTATATTGTTGATCCTCGCTGGCATGTCGTTTAGATAAATATATATCGTACATTAAACGTTGTACTATTTACTGTATAAACTGCTGACAATTTCGTCGTCGATATGGCTTCCACTATTGGCACACTCGTGATTTCGAAGAAATTAATAAATACATGCTCATTTATCATTTATTTAGACCACAGTTAGTAAAATTTTAGACGTATTCGGTATTCCAAATCCCAATCTATCTGAACGTATTTTAGTAATAGCTTCAAATATTCAGAACATTGTTCTTTCAGTCGCACATAGTACAAGTATTACTGTACATTCAATGCCAATGGTAGTATTTTATTCGGCTTTATATTTGTATGTTTATTGATATCTATTTAATATTTGAAGAATTCTATATTTTTCCGAGTAATATATTGTGCGGCCCGCTAATGCTTTGTATTATTGTTCATATATACATATTATGTATACATTTTAATATTTAGTATTTCCATAGTATTTCCATAGTATTTCTTCGTTGCACAATGTACACGCCTTGCGTCAATTTGACAGTTGACAGTTTATTTATCGCAGTCGACGCTGATTGGTTCGCGTTTAGCAGATGCGAAAAGGGGATGATTGAATAAAACGCATGGTTCCGTGCAGGCTCACCTTTCTCCCAGTGAGCATGTTCGCAGGCTAGTTCATATGGGGTATCCTACTAGCTTAAAGTGCCCATGCAACGAAATTTTCACCCCATTATTTATTGTTTTTCTAAAAAGTACTGCTGGAGTGATGAAGAATGACGTTTACAGTTTCGTCATATCTGATCTCATTCTCAAGTTATCGCACTTTCTATATTTTGAGTTGTGACGTCACAAGTATGAGTTGAGATAATGGCAATAACAAGAAAGTATGATATCTTGGTGAGTATTTAATAAAATTTAATGAAACTTGGTACACTTTGTGGGTGCAACAAAGTCAACAATTTGGCTTGTTTATATGGTTGTTATGGCAACACATTCGTCCCCAGTCCCTTCTCTTCCAATTTCTATATGATCCATTTTCAACGAAATAAATAGCAATTTCTACAATTTTCGCTTATTACTATAATAAGTGTAGGTATTGTGATCAGTTTCTACAGTTATAATATGCAAACATCCTCTGCAAGAGATCTACAGCAGGAAAGTTGTGAAAAGGAAGAGAAGAGACTGGGGACTAGTGTGTTGCCATGACAACCATGTGACCTACCAAAACTATTCATATGAGTGCACCCACTAAGTATAACAAGTTTTATTGAATTTTATTAAATACTCACACAATACTTTCTTGTTATTGCCATTATCTCAACTCATACTTGTGACGTCACAACTCAAAATATAGAAAGTGTGATAGCTTGAGAATGAGATGAGATATGACAAAACTGTAAACGTCATTCTTCATCACTCCAGCAGTACTTTTTAGAAAAACAATAAAAAATGAGGTGAAAAATTCGTTGCATAGGCACTTAAATACAAAAGGCTCGGTGCTTTGTTTACCTTTTTCTTGTGCAGGGTACTCGATCTATTTCTTAAGAATTCTTTCGCTCTCACTATTGCATTCTCTTCATCTTCAAATCGTTTCCACATAGACTCCGTCTTCCTACGTTACACAAGTGCAATAACTTAAACAATAATTCACTATAATAGTGTTGAAAAAGATCGAAAAAGAAGCCAATTCACTTACGGTTTTGATAACGATTGCTTGCGCTTCATTTTCGTCTGACTTTTCAGAAATTCTAATTCTAAAGCTGAGATGTAAACATAGAATTAACTACACGGTATACATATAGTTTAAGAAATGCAGCTTTTATGGCTATGGAATAGTTTACATGAACACATGCAGGGAAATTCTGCATAAATTGTTGAAGTACAATATCATATACCTGACATATAACATCACAAGATGGCAGTTTTCATGTTAGATATATACAGTAGATATTAAATGACAAACATATTTGTGTTAAGTTTTAAATGCTTTTCCATGAACTATTAAATAACATCGCTCAAAAGGTGACCGCTGCTCACCTGAATCTGGAATGTGACTTTCAGCCCATGCTTGTTTTCTAGAAGAAGATTGCTTTGGTAGAAACTTTTCGTCATCGTCTGAATGTGATGCCACGCCATTTTGATCTTAAATAAAGCAATGAAAATTTGTAAATAGTTAGGGAAGAATAATGAACTAGATTGATTTGTTGTCGTTGTCTGAATATTTTAAAACCAGAATATTCAGACGTGCATGGTGTGGTTAGACATTGTATTGAAATTACCTGTTGAGGCCAATGCTTGTTCCTGAATTCCTGGTGTTAACTAAAAATGAGAAGTAGCGTTTTAAGCAGGATAAGAATTTAATCATCCTTCGATTTGAGTTTGGAAGCCATTGATTCATTTGGCGGTTTTACAGAAATACCTTTCGCCTTAAGGATTTTTTTCAAGGCTTGCATGATAAGGTCAATGTGTTGCTAAATAACAGCATGTATAAATATTCGGAATGAGTTGTCACCATTTTATATCAAGAATCGCAATTGATTTATCAAGGCAACACCTTGACAAAATGCCCTGACGTCAAACCTAGTTGCGCAAATATGAAAATTTAGGATAATTGGTGCTCGACACTCGATTGAACTGAAGTATGAAAATTGAACTGAATATGAAAGTCTTATTGGAGCTGCTACAGAAGGCAAGGAAAAAGCACTTTATTTAAAAAATACTGCATTGTATAGTTTACCGTTTTATCATTTAAATCCTCTAGCTGGAGCCTTTCATCCTTTTCTTTCTCTATATCATTTTCATCATTAGAAGATAGTTCATCCGAGCTTTTTGACGTTTCTTGCTTATCATGCTTCGTTCTCCTTGCTGGTATTTTACCGTGAACTTCAGATTGATGCTTCATTGTTGATAGACGTCTTTCCAAGTCACTGCGGAGAAAAAATCAGAAATGCTTCAAATAAGCTGCTAAAACACGACACAACCAAAACAATGTACCAAAACAAATTCAAATTTCACTGGAGGGTCTTAGCTAGGATTTTAGAACATGGGCGTGTTTCTACATTTCCAGGGTGTACAGTAAATGCCAGCTACCCAAAATAGCCAAAAACACAGTTCCACCAACGATAAGCTTTGCCTATGTGGTTGTTCTATGCTTTACAACTGAATACAAGGCGAACATGCATGCATGCTCTCATATTTCGCACTGACATTAAAATACGTTATTTTAGGAACTCTTGGGGTCCACCTCCCCTAATGTCCGGCGCATTGATTTAATATTTATTCGTATTTCATCACCTTATATCCTGTTGCAATATTCGTTTTACTTCATTTAGCGCATCAATTTCCTTCTGCATTTCTTGTTTTATTCTGGTAAAAAGGAATGTGATTACTTTAATATCGTTCAACTTGAAACAAAACACTTCATGAAATTTTTGAAATTATATTATTTATACTTAGTTATAAAGTAGTATAGGGACCTTTTCAGACTTTCTATATCTCCCTCCTGCTTTGCAATGTTTTCTTCAAGCTTCTGGTTTTCACGTCTAAGAGCTTCACTACCTTCAGTGTTGATACTGAGATTCTAAATATTAGACATAATGTTGGTAAAATGTCTGAAAATAAAGGTAAGCAATATCTTACAGGACGATTTGCTAATAACCTGTCTTTCTCTGTCCACGCTAGAAAATTCTTTCTGCATTTCTTCTTTTCGAGTGGCAATTTGTCTCTCCTTAAGTAAATAACACAGTCATTGAATGAGTGCAATTAAAAATTATTTTACTAGACAGTAACGTTACTTTAGCAGTCAAGGAACCATCAAGTAATTAACGCACAGTCATTCTAAAGCATCGCTTTCTCAGATAATAAAACAAGGATACCTGATCTTTGATGGTGTTCAACTCATTTTCAACTGCCGCTTTTCTTTCATTGAGGTCGTTAACCATTGTTTCAACTTCACTTTCCTAGTGTGAACGGAATTTTATCAAATTGTACCATTGAATGTATTGTACTGAACATATTGCGTCATGTCGCATTCATCCTCGTGTTCTCACGGATTCGGTGTATTGTGTTGTTGCCACAGTGGCGTGCGGCTGCGTTATATTGTATTGTACTGTACTTTCTTTATATTACTGGGTACTGTATGTTGTATTCAATTGTACTGTACTTACTTTATTTTACTGGGTATACTGTATTTGTAATGTGCTGTAATGTATTTGTACTGTACTGTACTGTACTTGTACTGTACTTGTACTGTACTGTACTTGTACTTGGATTACCTATTTAGGTAGTCCAAGAACCAAAAAGTGGTACGATACCAAAAATTGAGCGTAGTGTAAACGGGGCTCAGCTAAATAGGTAGTCCAAGAAAGAAAAAAGTGGTACGGGTACCAATTTTATCCGTGCCGTACCAAAATTTGAGCGTAGTGTAAACGGGGCTTTACTTTCAATTGTATTACATTGCACATGTATTTGTCTTTGTAAGGTTCCATTAAGCCAATAAATTACCAATATATTCGTTAATAGTAATAATATTCTGGTAGATTTTAACAACAACCACTCGTACACAAGTTCTTCAATTAATATCAAGCTAAAATTTACCAGTTTCTTATGTTCAGCAATCTGGGTAGATCGACGCTGTTCAAACTCCTCTCTCAGCTTTCCAATTTCAAGCTCGTCTAGATCCTCTAAATTTTTCTTTTCTCTCTCGAGTCTTTCGCTTAGCTCAAACTGTTGTTTCATTTCCTATACCATCAATAGGTATGTTTTATTAATCATTATATATGGTGGTGCTCAGTTATCTACCATTACTTTGTATTGCCATTTACCATTATTATTTAGTTGCTGTGGAAGCACCCAAATAATGGTAAATATTTTTAATTTATAAAATTAATACCAAACACAAAGTCAATGCATAAAGTGTAAAATTTCCTGATTATAGTACTGTAAGTTTTCGCCAATAAAGTTGGCCACAATTCCTTACTAAAATCCAATTTTCCTATAAACCACTAGCCTTCCTTGGTTGCGATCTCCCATCGATGTGTGTTGCATTATACTTATATGGTTGCAAATAATCATACTGGGAATAATATTATTACTTGTTGTTTGGTTTTCCTTGGAAATTGCCGTATTCTTAGGATTTTTTTAGAAATAAGGCAATTTCCTTCACATTTCCTTCAATCTTCCGAAATTTCCTTCAAATTTCCTTCAGATTCGAATTTCCTTATAATTTCCTTCAGCTAGTTAAAATTTCCTTCAAAAAGGAAATTTCCTTCAAAATGGAAGCCTGCTCAGCAGGAACTATGCATGGGATATACATCCATGCATCCAAAAAACGTTCTTGAATTAAACGACAACAAAGTATTTGCATGCAATAAAGTAATAAAAATTATAAAAAGACTTTTACCATTTCCTTAAATTCTTGTTTTGCCTTGTATATTTTTGATTCGTGTTCAGATTTCAATAAAGTCTAATAATAAAATTCATCGTTTAACAATATGAATGTTGAAGACAAAAATCAAAGTATAAAAATAAAATTGTTACTTACAAGGTCTTTTTCATGTTTTTCTCGAGCCATCTTAATTTCGTTTTCATGATCCTTCTAAAACAACAAAAGACACAACACTACATATCATATCATATCATATCATATCATATCATATCATATCATATCATAATGCCAGCTACACAGTATAGATTAATATGAATTTTTATTAACTATTTCCAGACAAAAAGAATAGAGAGAAATAAAATCAGGTTGAAGGTATTACGCAATATATATGAATCAATTAATATTGATATGAATCAATATTACATCAATATTATATTGAATCAATATTACAATTTTACATTGCATATAAAAGATGCGCCTTGTTTAACTTTGCTATCATGACGTTTTCATCAATAATGCAATAGCCATGTTTAGTATTTTCATCATAATGGTTGCTAAGGTATTCTTCAGTGACAAGTAGGCCGGTATAGAGGATTTTGTAATGACTTCAAAACATATATAACTATATATAAACTACCATTCAAACACTCATTAATAATTCATAAGCTTATTGGCAAATCATGTCAACCATAATATGTCACGTGCAGTGGCTTTAAACCTGATAAAACATTCCTATTTAGTATTCTTTATATAAAGAATACTAATAAGGCAGTATATCTAGTGAATTTGTAGTCGTGTTTGAAGCCGTTTAATAAACTCGCAGGTCGTGTTTTATTAGGTCTAAAGCCGCTGCGCGCTCGTGGCCTTAACTAATAAAACACTCCTGCTCGTTTATTAAACAGTACATAATATTATCACTCTCACAATTACGGTACTTTACAGCTTGGATTCTTCAGAAATTTCCATTTTGTGTGTTTATCTTATACAAATTTAACTCTGGCCTCAAGTATACATATAGGTGTTGAAGGAATATGGACAAATTAAACCATCCTAGCTCCTCCTTATACAGCGTCCCAGTATACTTACAAACCGTCGCGTCTTCGTAAGGAAAGCATCAGTGAACTAACCTGAAGGACTTTGAGCTGTTGATTCTCCTGTTTAGACTTTATTTCATTCTTTACGTTTTCCACATCACTTTCGTGATTCTGTTCAAGTTCATCTTTTAACTCATGAATTGCCTGCCACAATAATAATAAAAGTAAAACATAATTATTCACTTTGCAGAAATTTAATATTGGATTTGTTTAATGCATGAGGTTTGGGCCACGCGGGAATGCATGACGAGGAACGTTGAACCACGAGGAGAAAGTGATTTTCAACTCGATTTCGTTCTTCTGATTTCTAGCTGCTTGGAATGACAAATTGGTTCTTCTGCCTTCTGGGATGAGCTTTCCTCATATGTATTGATTCATCGTTTCGAAGTATATCGTTTCGCTTTGAGAATGAAAGTTCCTTCCCTAATCATGCCATACATGACGCAAAATCCATCTGGATAGCAATAAACGTTGAAAGTTGGGTAACTGCACACGTCCTGCTTTCGGTAGCTCAGTCTATTCTACAGTGTTCATACGGCATTAATATACTTATGTACAATCTAGTTACAACACAATCTAGTACCTTCTCATGTTGCTCTTCCAGTTCTGACTTCATCTGTTGTATTTCATACTGGTGTTGTTGTTGCATTTCTTCCAGTGCCTAAATATATCATACAGTAGCCTATAGTTTTATATTCGATGTTCAACATATCGTAAAACAAGCGGCCATGGAAATATTCATTAGTATATTTTGGATATAGGTCGAAAACATTTTTTATAATCGTTACGATTATGCACTTATGTAATCTGTACATGAGTCAAAACTCTAATACGTTAGGACGTGGTTTAACAATGTATTAAATACCCATAAAATAAAACCACACAACTTGAATGATTTCAAAAGCGCGTTAGGGTGATTTTCAAAACTAACTCGCCTTAAACGTTATATTAAATTGTCGTAAAAGGAGAATTATGTAAGTCGTGCAAGATTTTCAAAGTAAAACTCGGAAACAATGCAATACTATAGAACGCATGCACTGCGGACTATACATATTAGAGGTGTGCAAATCCGATCCGAATCCGATCCGATCGGATTCGTTCGGATTTCGGAACAAAAATATACATTTCGGATCGGATTGATAAAGTTGTTTCGTAGTCGGATCGGACTTCGATATTCGAAATAAAATGAATTAATTATCCACGCATTATTGCAAGAATTAATTATCCATGCATTTATCAAAGCATTATCGCGGTTGTCGCTGCATTTTTCGTTTGATACTTCAATTGGTCGTCACTTTGTCAGCTTCTTGACATGTATTTCTTGTTTTTATATTTATTTGGTTAAACATTTCAACTTGAATGAGAAATTTATTTTGTTAAAGGATTCTTCGGATCGGATCGGATTGGAATTCTTTATCGCAACTCGGATCGGATTCGGATTAGACAATTTCGGATCGGATTTTAAACACTAGCCAATTGTCGGATTATAAACGTCCAATCCGATCCGATGCACACCTCTAATACATATACTGCTATATTACACATAATGCCCGATGGGGTATACGTGTGCCTCTACGTAAGCCATGATCATGAAAAGGGAGTACAGCCCCGGTAGATTCGTCCATGCACGACGTACAGTGACGATGTACCCTATGACTTACACAATCTTTTTCCTTCTCCAGCTTCTCACGCAATTCTTCAATCTTCTGTTTATGTTGTTTATCCAATATCCTTTCCTCGGCCTCTTCTTCTGACTTATATTTCTCTTTTAGTTTCTTCATTTCATTTTTACTCTGTTCGTTTACACTATCTTCTTCCTTTCTTCTTTCATTCTTTAACTTTGTTCGAAATTCCTCGAGCTCTTCATTTTTCTTGTTTTTTAACTTTTCCTCTTCTTCCGCCTGTTGCTGTTTGATTTCCGATTTCAATTTTCTGATTGCGTCTTCCATTCCCTCTTGAAGATGTGCTTCTTCTTCTAAATGTTCTTCTCGTATTTTTATTTGAAGTTCTTTCATTTTTGTCGCATATTCAGCGCGCAGTTTGCCTTCTTCTCTCTCTTGCTCATTTTCTAACTCTTGTTTAAGTTTTGTAATTGTCTCTTTCCTCTCCTTTCGTAATCTTTTTTTCATTGATTCGTCCTCACTTTCTACACTTTCGTTAGAAATGTTGAGCTGTTCGGTCGATTTAGGTTCAGGCAGTTTTCTAATAATTTATAAAAGAACAAAAAATAGTTTGGCGCGCAGAAAGACTTACAGTCTTCCACTGTATTATTGGAAAGAGAACGAGATGCAATTCCTCACAGAGCGTAACCACTTGCAATGCACTTGTATACAATGAAGCGGTAATCTATATCGCATTTTGAAATAACAGCTATAGTAATAATACCCTAATATATCAGATGCATATATATCAGATGTATGTATGTATGTATGTATGTATGTATGTATGTATGTATGTATGTATGTATGTATGTATGTATGTATGTATGTATGTATGTATGTATGTATGTATGTATGTATGTATGTATGTATGTATGTATGTATGTATGTATGTATGTATGTTATGCATATATATCATCCCTATATATCAGATGCATAAGATGCATACCCTTGATATGGCACGAAGTTTGCTTTGTTTAATCTCTTTGCAAAACAAATGCCTCAACAGAAAACGGACGCCGTTGTTGGCCGAGTTCAGACCACCAAACAAATATATACTGTTTCTTTTGCAAATGCTTTTAATTTGAAAAACTTAAAAATGAGTAAAGTTGCATGAACATTGTGGGACAGACCATTGCGGTGTGTGTTTACATTTTGGCTGATCCAAACCACACCGAGCAAGTTGAAAAGTTTAATTTTCAGCTTTCCTTTTCGGTGGCATACCTGTAAAATAGCATCCTCGTACCCATGCAGGGTCCCAGCAGGTGGAAAGTCCCTGCGACGGAGGTTGGTAAAATAGCTGTATGTGGCTAAGTGTATATATAGACCACGTTAATAAATTTTTGAATTTTGAATTTCAATTTTGAATTTCCCTGTGTGGAGACATTCAGAGTAGTCTGAGTTGAACACTACAATCACAAGACATTTTGGGTGTGTTAAATGGACCTTTATAAATTTAAGAGAATATCTTTTTGGAGGTTATTAAATTGTCAGTTATATGTGTACTGTATATGTCTTTCGGTTCCAGTCAATCTGGATGACGTAGTTTACGTACGTTTCCTTCTTGGTGTTCAGTTGAGTTTCACTTTTGATGTCATTCTTTTTCTTTTCTTTTTCTTTTAGATTCAGTCTAAAATTAACCACAGTTAACAGCAATAAGTTCTGCAATAATTAACCAAATAGGTAAAAGCTTGTAGAATGACTGTCGCGCTTTTCTCTCATGCGATAGTTTTCGTGGTATAATTTTCCCAATTACATCTTCCACAATCTCTCTCATTCAATGATGTATTCTCACATCTGTACCTGCTAACGCAATTGAGTAGCTTTATGGGAAATGGAGGTATTGTAATTTATTTACTGTAATCAGACAAGCAGCACTGATGTATATAACACAGCTTTTAACTATTAATTAAGATTCTAAACCCGTATACTATATGTTGGCATGTTGCAACTCGTAAACTCGTGAAGTGAAGGTAACTCACTGTTTCAAAGCTTCCATACTTGAATCACTGTTTCGAAAAAAATCGTTATCCTGGAAGAAATAGAGCCAATAACAAAATTTATTTTTATGAAAAAACAACTTACGATTTTGTAATTGAGAATTAACAACAAGTTATCTGGACAAAATGTACTATACTACTAATTCCAGTTAAATCCAGGCGTGCAAGGTTACGGTACATGTTTAGTGAGACGATTATGAATAAAAAAATCCTTGTGAGTGGGGCGTCATTTTTAAGCGATTCATTTACACTTTAATCGGAAAAGTTATAGATGAAACTGTTCTGATATTGTCGATTGGTATCGGCCGATTTGTTCCGTGTGCAGTGTGTTGCGATTTTTATCACTTAAATTAAACTAACTAGAATTCATTCTGTGATTTCGTGAGGTATATGAAGTCACGGTGTAGGCAAACCGATTTGAAAATCGTCCGTCTAAAATCATGCCGCGTGCGCCAAGCTTATAACAATAAAAGGATAACCTTGTTATCAATAAATATCAAGATATTTATTGATAATAACTTGATATTTACCCTCAACTTAACATGGCAGTACCCTAGTATTAGTAGTATATATACATGAACTTGTGGTTAGAGCTCGACAACTGGACCCTGGATCTCATGTAGTTATAGTTGGAGCGCTGCACCGGATTCGCAGGGTCGCAGGTTCGATTCCTGCGAGGGACCCTGGGTAGGTCTGATAAGTGTACACTGTATATAAATTTACACTCGACAATTTTCCATCTACAAAACCCTTCAACTAACCTTGTTATCTACTCTTGCTGGCATCAACAAATCAGCACTCATTCCTTCCAAACGGTCAGATAAAGCCAGATTAATTCCAAAGTCCTATACACATGCAGGAACAAATTGTTTGGTAACAATACTAAGGCATTGTCATGTAATCCTGACTGTGTATGTGGTAGTCACCATAACGAATATTATAGTTTAAAGTTATACCATGTACAAAGTTATACCATGTACTGTTATTGACATATAGACCTGCGTCCAACCTCGTACCTGCTTCATGTCTCACACGAATTGACTTTATTTTTATAGGGTCCATTATTTTTATAGGGTCCATACCTATAGTCTGTAATGAGATCTGTTTAATTTTTAGTTGGATCTATCCAGTCTTATTATCAGATCAGTTCACAACAGATTGGATAGACCCTGTCAAAAATGAAGTCAATTTGAGCGAGACTTGGGGCACGTCCATTGTTGACATGTTGTTGTTTTCCAAAATACGGACGAAATAGTACGTATACTTGGGGACAAACCACAGCTTTGAAACGAGACAACAATGATCAAAACATTTTCGTTCAGAAATTATGTAACAACACAACAAAACTAAACTCCTGAATATACATGTACTTACGACTTCGCCATCATCATCATCGCTCTCCACAGAATTACTTAAAGAAGGTGTTTTAGGTAGCTTCGAATCATCGCTGTTCGATTCATTTGAGTCCTAAAATTTAAGAAATTTATGTTTAATTCGATGGTGGGCATTCAATTATCCCCTCTATTCTAACTTACCGCCCTACAACCATGTACAGAATTAATTCACATCGTACACTCTAAAAACAGGTGTGTTCAATTACACACCAAGGTGTGTTTAATTACACACCAAGGTGTGTTTAATTACACACCAAGGTGTGTACATTTTACACACCTTCCTATACAATTTTAGAAAACACA